GGAGTCCCTACACTCGTTCCATGGTGGAACTCATTGAGAGTGTTCAGTCTAGTTTCACTGAGCGGATTTTCGCTCGTGAAGGTATGTTTCATGTTCCATATAAAGACAGACTGGATTTCCTCAAGGAAGACTCTCTTGAAATGAGACGTAAACTTTTTGATTACGACTTCGTTTACAAGCTCTCTGCTGGATTAGTGGATTTGGATTTTGACGCTCTATTCAAAAAATCTTTAACGATTGGTCGCACAAGGGGTCATGGCTTTAGACTTTTGAGATATCTCTGAATGGCATTATGTTGTACCTATATTGAGTGTTGTTATGTTCTGTTTTATTTTAATTTGTTTTTTTTGTTATCTTCCCATTAACTGCTATCATGATGGGAGTCGGATCTCGGCAAAGTTGGCGGACCTACTAAGCTGGTATCCGGAGTTCTTATTCGTGCACCTCTGAGCTTGCAGTGTTGGCGGCCACTGCCCTTCTGCGCCGATTATCCACTCCCCTCCCACAGCAACTTTATTGGTGTAGTTTTTTTCGATATCGGAGATCTGCTTTTTACTTGAGTTTGTCATGTATTTAATTAGAATGCCGATAATAAATCATTAAATCATTAAATCATTAAACTATGATTTCTAGCTACTAATGTTAAGATATTCTAATGGCACCCTTATCCCTCTATTCGGTCGCGTGTGACGAATACGAATTTTGATAGCCACCGCCTCACCCCACGTCCGTGGATTTTGTATTGTAAATGAACAAAAACGTGAATGTCACAAAATAATTTCAGCATGTTGAATGCGTAAAGTTATCTAGGCATATAATAGTAGGATTTCGCTCAAACGACGAGTAGTGATAATGAAAAGCAACATTTATTCACCTCCCTCGCAGTGGGAGGTAAAAGCATTTTCAACTGCGTTGTTTCGATTTGACCACTCATCTTTCCATTCATAGCGCTTTCCCTTCACTTCTAGCACTCTTCCGAAAACTTCATGGCTTTAGAAAACTTTCCAAAATAAGCATGTAACCTTTCGGTGAATCCAGTCGCTTATGGTTACTTATTTGTCCCTATTTCATTCATTAATATCGGAAATACTCAAAAACAACTAAATAAGCGATTGGCAAGCGATTATTAGCTGGCAGCCTAGATAGGATGCTATCTTCCCACGAGCGCACTCCCTGGCAGACCATATGGGCTGCCGCCCGCGTGAATGTGTTCAAGGACATTGACAGTTTCTCACACAACTCTCGAACATTTTTCAATACAAGGCGATTTTATTTTTTTAATCCAGCTTTGGTTTGCAATTCGAACGCATGGTATCACTCATATTTCCTTATTTGAATCCTTTTTACCAACTCAGCGATGTAGTCTGTTTTGTCTGTTTGTAAAACTTAATTGTACACCTGATCTAATCTATGCTAATTTGTAATCGGTATATGCGATCCAAATTGTTTTCCGTATGCAGCCTTTATAGTGTTCAGGTAATTCTGTTGTCGTCACCATGTCTAGCATCACAAACCTAATTATCTACGTGTGTGAAAGTAAGTTTCTTAAATTTTCACCACAATCACTTCGCCACTTCTCTTACAATTTCTTGTGAAAGAACTGAAGAAGTGGCAGAGAAAGAGTCACCACAAGTCGGGTCAGTCACTATAAGCATGGTGCAAACTTTGCAGATGGAATCTGGGTTGAACCCCCCACTAAAATTTCCCCCAATCCCGATTTCTTTCTTTGACTCGCTTGTTAAGAAATTGACGACAATCGTGCGTGCGTCTCGGCCTCTTGTTTGAATATTTTCTTTAACACCTTGGAGCCCATGCAGCCCATATGTGGGCTGCAGTCCGTCGCGTAGGACCTTTCAGCTCACATTTCGGAAACAAATGCCAAGTTTTTCTTTTGCTTTCTTTTCCGTTGCATTCGATAAGGATTCTTCTGCATCACCCAGTAGAATTTTCTTCTCAGTTTGCTTGATAACATTGCCTAAAAATTTCACTCAAGTCTCACGTCGCCGAAAAACGTGAAACATGCGCGCGCTCCAAAGTGTTAAATAACCATGACCTCAATAATTCCGTTATAAGTAGTGGAAAACCCATTTTCTGGATTCTAATGTAGGCGGACAGTTCTGAAACTGGAAATCGCGACGAAAATCAAGCAAAAAATATCTTGCAACAAAAAATGTCTTGTGACCCGACGCGCGTGCGCGTTACGGCGTCGTCGATGGAACTGAAATGACATCGTGGTTGAACCTAGGGAAGACCGCACTCCCCCATATAGTGCCTGGCGGGGAAGCTTCGAGAGTATTCTTCTATAACTACATGTTTAAAGGCAAAGTTCGGGATTTCTGGCGAAATTTAGGTTTTCCCCGTCAAATATGCAGCAGTACGCAAGGGCAGACCATGTGCAGAAGTGGCGGGGCGATTTGACAAGGTTTAGGCGCTAGGAGCCTAGGTTGGAGCATTGGCGCCGCCCCAACCCATTGAGCCCGCCCACTGTTCCATGCGACCTTCCAAGACAACCACATGGAACACTAGATGTTAAGTTGTTATTTGGAAGGTCGTAGGAGGATAGGTGGCGGATTTCAACTGTCAACTTCAATACCAAAGCCTATGTTACGGCCATTACAGGAAACTTTGCTACTCATTCTAATAAAAATCAAGTTTTTAAAGTAAGAAAAACAAACAAAAAGCGCAAATAAACAGAAAAACAAGGAAGTTGGACGAAACCAATTCTTATCGCTGAGCTGTTATAGCTGAGTGGTTGATGGCATAAAGCCAACAGTTGCTGTGAACACGTCCATACACCTTTCTCCCCAGCCCTGGCTTGTAAGTAAGCAACGAAAAGGAAGGTATAATTTTGAACTATTTTGGGGGTGTTCCCTGTTTTTTTTCTCCAGGTTCGATTCAGTTAGCACCCAGGGCTTCATATTTGTACAGGGTACTCCCACGTTTTACCCCGGAGTTTGCCTTTGAGCATGGGTACCGGTCAAAGTCGGTGCTGGCGTAGTTGAAAGGGGGTCACGCGGCCGCGCGGCGTCTGTTCGTCTGTGCTCTCCGAGGCTTAGTGCTGAGGGACCACTGATTTCGACTGCGTCGCGGTGGCGATGGAAATGGCCGCTCAGGACCAAACCTTGGAGAGCACAGACGAACAGACGCCGCGCCGCCGCGTGGCTCCCATCAACTACACTAGCACCCGTGAATCGAAGATTTTCATGGTCTTTCAACGCAGTTCACAATTTGTTACTGTAACTGAATGAAATTATTTGTAAAATACATGTGAAATGACGAATTATTTAGGTTTTCTTATAATTATCGTTAACGTCCCATTGGTATTGATAATTCTCCTGCGAAAAAGCAATCGAGAACGTCGTGAATTCATTATCATCGCAGGAATGGCATTTGGTGATTTGATATACGCTCTCGGATTTCTGCTCTCGATGACAAGACGTCTTGAGAATATGGCAATCAGTAAGGAACAGATCAGCGCTTGCGCCAAGATTTCGACCAGCACGGCATATCAATAGTTAAGGTGACTCTACAGCCACGGTTCCTCGAATTGTATGCATGTCTCAGTGGTCTACCATTGCCCTGTTCTTGGGCTGCTCGCTGATTGGTCAGATGAACACTGTGGTTGCGGTTGATCGATTTATAGCTACCGTATTTCCGATTTGGTATTTTCAAAGCACTAATCGATATCCGGTCATTGTTCTATCGAGTAAGTTCATGAAATTCGGGCAAAATGACAGTGCAATAGAAATAATATACAGGATTTTAGGTACCATCCCGTTCAGGCCGACGTCAGATCTTGCGAATCGAGCAATTCGCTAGTGAATCGCAGGATCCGAGCGTTGCGCCAGCGAGTCCAACGATGTACCAGCGACTCAATAGTGGCGGGACCCAACGTTCAAAGGAAGCCCGCTACTTTCGAACAGTGTCACGTGACAGTGGACCCTTTTGAAAGTGGCGGGACTTGACTGTTTGAAAGTGGCGGGCTTCCTTTGAACGTTGGGTCCCGCCACTATTGAGTCGCTGGTACATAGTTCGACTCGCTGGTGCATCGTTCGATTCGCTGGCGCAACGCTCGGATCCAGCGCTAGCGAATCGCTCGATTCGCAAACTATGACATCGGCCTTACCGTAGCGCAATGGTCAGAGGCGCCAATTTTGTGTTTAGATTTCCTCATACAATTATGTCTACGACTTTGAATGGGAGTAGAATACAAGGTGCCTCCCATGGAGATTTGTTAAAGGCACAATCTACGATTATTTTTCCAAACGATTGGTCAGAGACACAATCCACGATATGTTTTTGACTCGGAGTGCGCTAGGAACACATGGCGAAGGGTAGCAATTTTGCCAGTCTCTACCACTTTGGGTTCCTGCGTCCTATCGTCCAATACGCTTTCTCGCCTGCGCTTTCTCCTTGACGCCCAATGTCTTCGGCTTCGCATAATCTCCTCGTGATTTCATGTCTTCCTTACATTTCCTTTGCATTTTCATTACTTCGCATTTGCCATTCCATTTGAGAGCACAATAGCACCTTAAAGGACGAATTCACGATCAGAGGGAAAATCGAATTAGGAAGAATTCACCTGGTTGAGGGACCCGCGGAGCTCCTAAGTGTGCGAACTGAAGCACAATTTGCACAGGAGGAGTTGACCTCGTTGACCTATTAAGGTTTAATCCCGCCGCGGCTGGTCAGTGCACGCCCACCGATCATCTGATCACTCGCCGCAGGTCTATACGTGGTGAGTGATTAGATAGGTGAGAGAGCGTAGCGTTGAAGAGGGCACAGCGATGATAGTCGCATCAATGCTCAAATCAACGGGCAAGGAAGGGGTCCATTTTTCTCGGGTTCTGGGCCGTTTCTCATGGTTTTTCCTTCTTTAGTGTACCACTCACCATCGCTAACTTAATTTGAAATGGGTTGCCTTTCCAGCGTGAATTCGTCCTTTAATTGGTCACGTGGTGTGCCTTTACCGAGGAGCTGTTTATACTGCAGAGGTCCAAAAACATGTTGAGTGATGTATTCGACGGTAATGGCATGCGCATAGGGATTTTGTTCATTCTCAAGATAACTTCGCACTGTGCTCTCAATTGGTGGAGATTAACACCTTGGAGCCCATGAAGCCCATATGTGGGCTGCAGTCCTGTCCACCACGTAGGACCTTTCAGCCCACATTTCGGAAACAGATGCCAAGTTTTCCTTCCGTTTCTTTGCAAAACATTGCACGGTTTCCACGATGTTAAAGCAACAGTCCAGGCAGGGTTTCAACCATTTGGTTTTCAAGTGGTGGAAACATGCCTCAGCCTGATTGGAGTTCATGGGAAATGTCACAAACTTCAAAACTTACCTCTGAAAGGCGTTGGAAGCAGTCGAAATCAGGGTGAATAACGGTCGAGGAAATCCTCGACAGGGGGTCGTATTTGCTCCGATGAGAGTTGGGAGGGGGTCGTAATCAAAAGGTTCATCAACGGACACAACGGTGCTGCTGCCACTTATTTGCTGTCATCATTAGTTTCACAAGTGTTGTACTTAGCCTAATGCAAATAACATCTTACAAGTGGTTGTTGGTTTGGTTCGTAGTGATCAGTATGGCATAGGAAGGCAACGCGTCCTGCAAAAGAATCGTAGGGAAAGGGCAGCGAGTATCTACTCTAGAATGATGTACATGCTTCGAGAACTTAGTGGAGGAACAGCATCTTGGTAGAAAGTTCAAAACAGGCAGATTCGCAGCCTTCTTGGCATCATCAGATCCTGCAACCGCAAGCGTGTCATTCATCAGAACGGGTTGGAAAGGAAGCGAATAAAGGAATGATCAGACATCACTATGACCACAAGAGTTATCCTAATTAGTTAATACTGGAAATATCTTTTGGTGTGCTTAAGCAAGTCGTCACTAGGACAAAACACCTTCCCAATGACTCCGAGTGGGGTCACTGCATGGCGCATACAAGAACGGAATGGATCCGCGCCAAGTGCATCATTTTCAATTTACTCCATCGAACTGACGTGTACAGAAGTATTTTGAAGGTGTTCAAAGAAGTTCCCTACTACGGCGAGGGAGTAATAGAGTTTTCGAGTGGCTTCGAAAATTTCCTTGACATTTCCTCGACGCAGATTTCTCGCGAACTAGAAAGCGTTCGAAACAACTGGAGCACCTATCAGAAAGCGTAAATCTTCTACTTTACAACGCTTTCCTCCGATTTTCAAAGCATTGCCAATGAAGACAGCTACTGTCTTCCAAAGAGTGGGAACTCGCATGTAAATTTCAATTTCCTCGACAATTTCTCGACGTCTCCCACTCTCGAGAATAGGCGTGCTTAGAAAAACGCTCAGCACAATTTAGAAACTAGAAGTCTTGTGCATTCAAAAGCTGCCTTCACTTTCTGAAATGGTTATCAATGAAGAAAGTTATAGTCCTTTGAATAGGGGGTACATTTGACGATTTTTCCAACTAGCGCGCTCTAGGCACAGCGCGCGACGCGATCGCGGGTAGTTAGCGCCGCTATACTGGAGCGCGAGACTGTTCAACTGTGTAGGGGCAGTACCTCCTTCAATGTTCTACTTTCCGGCCAATGTGGCAAAGGTTAAATGTCTTTAAAGGAAAGAAGGAGAACCTAATCTGAGCAGAATTGAATCTAGCATTTGGATCAAGCCGCATTTGCGTGGCAGCGGCGCTGCGTCCCTCTCGCACATCTGAAACTAGCATTTTTTGATATGAAACCGGATGTGCAGAGGACAAAAAGGGGTCGTATCAGAGTCCATGTTTTGGAGGGGGGTCGTAAAGAGGCGGTTATTTCCTCGACACGATTTTCACCCTGCCTGACACGTTTGCGTTTCACTCTAGATCAAAAGCAAGAAGAGTAAAGAGGGAAAAGGCGAGGAGGAGTGATGTACGAGATGATCGGTGAGAGGGATGAACGGCGGTCATGGAAAGAAAGAGATCTAGAATACTTTCTATACACTCCTACTCGCAGTTTCTAGATGCCTGGCTCATTCTGGTTCAAAATTTTCAGGCTATCCATAATTCCGTGCTTTTCAGTCGCATATTGTATTTCGATAGCCACCTTGTTGTTGAACTGGATTCTCGTTATCACTAATGACACAGAGGAACAAAAAAGGATCAGTTTTCAATGCTCGTTTTCCGATTCAACGTATCCAGGATTCAGGTCGTTTCTACCACTTCCATTTCTTTCTACTTTTGTAATCTTCTTCCACCAGTGTTTCAAAAGCTCATAAAACACATCTCCATTGCAAATCGTACATCGCATTTGCGGCACTTTTTCTCTATCTCTCTTTTCTCTATCCATAAGAGGAATTCTTCGCTGAAGCAGTGCAGGAACCCTTGCCTTTAGAATGCTCTTCTTTTCCGTTAAATTTCGGTCAGTCGGTAATTCATCTTGCCAGACAAACATACCCCTGAAATAGCCAGCCTAGTTGACTTCTGAACCATTGTCCTTTCTGTTCAATTATAATCAGCGCATCTGATAAAATTTATTTTTTAGAGAGTACTTGACCTTCTACAGATGGATATGTGTAATCATCGCCGCTTTGATGTATTTGGTGGTGGCGTTTCTTATAAGAAAGGTTGCTTTGTTTGTGCCATTTTGGCTTGTATTATAATGGACGCCTTAGAGACCATTTTATTGCAGAGGTTTATCAAAACATCGAGAGCATTCGTTCCGTCTATGAGCAAAATACAGAGCAATAAAATCATGCGGAGCAATATCACAATGGGTAAGCTCGTTTTCATCAACATCATGTTGCCACGAATTCGCATTGAGGTTCTCAGGACATGCGAAATACGTTCATGCTCTCGAAAGTAAACATATTGCTATAGATGTGAACTAGTGAAGAAAAAAGGAACCACCGACAAACCTCGAAAAAACCTCCTTCCTTTAGTTGTGGAGAGTTTAAAGCGGATGTCAGACTTGGTGAATTCGATTTCCGATTTGCTGGCGAATTGGGGTATGATCATTGCACTAGTGGTTTGGACGATGCACAAGCTGACCGAAGTGTGCACCAACGGTCCAAACTATGTACAAGCGGTTCGAACGATGTGCTAGTGACTGGGCACTGTTTGAAAGTAGAGGGCTCCCTCTTGTTTGCACGTTGACCCTCGCTACTTTCCCGAGCTCACATGGGCATCACAGAGAGCGAATATAGACACGGTGACAAAGGTGAATGTGTAAAGCGAGAGCTGCTTCGCTCCATAATGCCAATTCGTGGACGGAACCACATGTGAAGTCTAGTGCTATGCGGTTTTGGCAATTTCGTGCCACGACATCGACTTGTATGCTTGTCGATTCGTTTACATTTCTTGTGCTAGGGTCCACCTGATCTTTAGTTTGCCTTCAACCTTTTTTTTCAAATTTTACTATAAATGACATGGATAATCATGAAGAACTGAGAATGACTGGCAAGTTCTGGCGGTCAAATCAATAGCAGCGCCAAGATTTCTTGAAACTGTTTAAAAATAGGCTGTATCACGCACTGCAATACTTCCTCAGGTAGCTGTGTATGTCTATTTCTAGTGGATGAGACGATGAAAATTTTCCATGCACTGCTTGAAAAGGTAACATTTAGGTATGACGACCGTGAGCGCAGTGATCTTGCTTCTGATTCCGGACGTCATGGCCTTCTTCGATTTCCCCAGCAGTGATCTTGCAGTGAAGCTTTTTCTATATTCATTGATGATGAACAAGGTGAGTTCAAGAGGATCGATTTTCCTCTATATCTTCACTTAGTTCTGCTGGCGTACTATGCCTAATACTGTGAGCATGAACATGCTAAGGTTTCTACCCAATATACCCCAAGTACTTTGCTTTCTGTTTCCAGACCATTACCAGAGTAGCATTGATAGGAACCATTTACGCGGTGCTTCGGTTGTGCTGAGTTCAGCGGGATCTCGAATAGAGATTTTGGATGGGTTTGTTTACTGGCATTTGCGTAATTGTAGTGGTGGGATGGAGGTCGTCCTTGAGCCTTTCAGTAGGCCGTGGTTGTAGTGGTAGGGGTTGCGTTGCAGAGCAAGGGAGAGAGCTGCCGCCTTTAACAGGGTTTTTGACAACCTCCATGGTATTGTAGGGAGTTTACCTCACTTCAATCCTCCCGCATCGCTTGGCGGCTTTGCTGTTTCTGAGAATTACAGGGACTTTTGGGACGTTGCTGAATCTATAGACGCAGACATGTGGTAAGAGGGGAGTGGGTAGGGGGAGGGTAGGGAAATTAGCAGTAAACTTCATTGGAGAGTCAAAAAATCAAAAATTCAGAAATCAAAAAAATCAAAAATTCGTAAAAATTTGATGAAGAATTGAATCCGCACTACTGTTTGCTAGCCTTGGTACATGTAGTCAACGTGCGACGCTTGCGGTACACATAATGAGCTGAGAACTTGCAAGAGAGGTCTTTCAAGGTACGAAACGATTTTTAAAGGGCTCTCTGCGCTATAGAAACTTATGAGTGGAGTAGAGGACGAGATTAATTTTTGCTGAGCAGCTCCGTGAAGGCAAAAAAATGGGAGGGAAAGTTAAAAGGTTCGAATCCCCGTCATGACTACATTCTTTTGTTTGAAGTTATAAGTTTTAGTTTGCTCCAAATGCGCCAGCGAAAACAGTAGGTGTCAAGACGCACAGGGTGACCGAAAAGTATAGGACGTGATTTTGACCGCTTGGTGACGCTGAGCCGTGGAGTATTTTCGGAATGTTTCAAAACTCTTTTGAAGCTTCGGAGCTGTGCAAAATGCTCCATAAGTTACTTGGTTCAAAGCGTCTGGGCTCTTGTTAGGAAGTTTTCTTCAAGAGACTGCCCAAAGGCTGTATCCGAAGTGGCGACTCTGAAGAGCTGCTTGATATTCCTTCTTCTACTCCTCAGAATATCTCCGTTGTTCCGGTGGTTGAAGAACGTTGATCTGGTTGAAAAACTCGTGGAAACACCCCTCTGAGATGGAACAAGTGGAGGACTGTCCACACTCAGAGGATTGGAGCAATCACCTAGAAGTGGGTCACACAATTGTGGAAAAAGTGTTATTCACATCGCTTTTGATCTCAGCCGTCAGTACTACCAAAAGATATTGAGAAGCAACTCCTTTCTGAACAGTTAACGTCTCTATTTGTGCTGGTTTTTATCAGGGCAATTTGAATTAAATCGGCTGATAAAATGCACAGAAGTTTTTTCGCGAACTCGAGCAGCGCTGAATTGCTCCTACGCTTTCAGCTCATAGAAAATTTTTCGAACCAAACCTCTTCGGTACCGGCACAGTCACAGGGATGTTGCCAGAAAAACTGGTTTTGTGTGGTAGGTTGTGAAACAGTAACATCCAAAAGGGAGGCTCCATTGGTGTTCATCTTCGAAAAATGTTGAAATTCACTCGGTCATGCATACGACTAGTATATTGAGGTGCGGTATGTAGGTTGTTCTGATTGAAACTCCCTTAGGCTCCATAATACGCTTTTCAAAGCGATCAAAGCCGTTCTGGACCCGCACTTCTCCGACTCTGGAGCGAGAATTTTTGTTCTTTCTCCGCATGGGCCTTCGACTTATGAACTTCTCTATGTAAGGATGTCAGAGAGCGCGATTCTATAATTCGATGGGTGCACTGAAGTTAGCGCTTCAGAAGGCGTGGACGACATGGCGTTGGCTACCTGCGGCGCACTGCTGATTTTGTCGTTGGACGTCAGAAGGCCTCTGTCAAAGCAGGATCGTAAAACTCGGAGCACCTTTTTTCCTAAGTTATGCATGGCCCAACCCCATCTTTATGTTAAGGTGGTTTGTTAACAGAACTCCCTTCTTGACTTTTACACTCAAAAACATGTCGTCCTAACATGAACATTTTTAGCCTCCCTGTACATTGCCAGGACCATCAGGGACCCTCACTGATAGATATCCACTGCAATCCGGTAAAAATCACCTACTACAAGTAAATTTTTTTGAACCTTCTATGGCTTTCAGAGGCCGCTCAGCGGAAGCTCGCTTTTGTAGCCACGTGAGAGCCGCTACATCACACATAAATGATCTTCCAGAGTGCCCTCCAAAGTGCATTTGAAAAGCGCTCAACAACTGAAAGGGCACCCTTGTCAGTCTGGATAGGCACAGCTCCACACCCCAACAAGTCCCGTCCTTTTTAAGAGTCACTTCCCTGGTCTAAACGCCTTCTCAACATGATTTTTTTCAGACGATGGTAAATTTCTTCATCTTTGTCGTGCGACATCGAGAACTACGAGGAATTTTCGTATCCGCCAAGACAAGTACCACTCACATGGTCAATTGAAATGATCCAATCTGTTTCTTAGCCAGGCATTCAGGAGAAGTTTCAGGCGATAAGGAGCCTTTCGCGGTCTCCGATACATGGAAGGATCTTACGAACGTGATAAGGATGGAAGAGAACAAGTTATGGTTCGACACTATGAACAGTTCGCTTTTCAAATGAATAGGAATCGATTATGTGGCCGCAGAGACAGGCATTTTGTGTCCGGGGATATGGAGGCTTCTTTTTGATCTCTGATTGCAATGCTATACATGTATCATTTGATCGTTGTGGTGATCGTCGGGCTACAAAACGTGCTTTCTTTTGATATAAATACATATAAGCAGAAATTCCTTGTGGCCTTGGAACCTTGGCCAATAAACGACCTCTTTCATCTTTTCCGTATGAGTTCATGCAATATACAACTTCTTTCATTGTTTTCATATGCGTATATGGATCGTTGACGATAAAGAGATCGAATACATTTCGATGTCAGTGTGACAAACGATGACAGTGTGACATGAGAATGATGAGCGAAAGTAAACAGTGGGAAGACGAATCCCTTGTAAAACTTCCGGTGGGCGACTGCATCTAATCTGTGCATACAATATATCGCCGATTTACTCTTAGGATGCAGTGATAATACGAACGCTCTGCTACTCAGCATTTGATCTGCGTACTCAAAAATGCGCACAGAATTAGCCGTGGAAAAACATTTCAATCAGATAAGATAAGGCAAACAATGGGATTGGTTGCTCAAAAGGTAGTGATCACGATGGCAGAGGGCGACAAGCTTTCAACGACGTCATTGAAGACCATCGGTGGAATAGACCACTTAGGCCGATGTCATAGTTTGCGAATCGAGCGATTCGCTAGCGAATCGCTGGATCCGAGCGTTGCGCCAGCGAATCGAACGATGTAC